TAGTAGATATGATAATCATCTGAGTTGAATTCGCCCATTCCTGTCCATTTTAGTTCACTAATGCCCAGGATGTCAATGTTTATTCTTGCCATCTCCTGTTTGACCACCTCCAGCTTCCCAAGGTTCATAGATCTTACATTCCAGGTTGCTATGCAGTATTTTTCTTTACAGCATTGGACTTTCCTTTCACTTCCAGGCATGTCCACAGTTGAGTGTTCTTTCAGCTTTGTCCCAACCACTTCATTAGCTCTGGAGCTACTTGTACTTGTCCTCCACCCTTCCCCAGTAGCATATTAGACGCCTTCTGACTTGAGGGTCCCATCTTCCAGCGTTATATCTTTTAGCCTTTTGTTTCTGATCATGGAGTTTTCTTGGCAAAGACACTGGAGTGGATTGCCAGTTTCTGTTCTAGGTGGATCACGTTGAGTCAGAACTCTCCACTATGACCTGCCCATCCTGGGTGTCTTTGCACGGCATAGCCCATAGCTCCTCTGAATGACTCAAGCCCCTTCGTCATGAAAAGGCAGCCATCTTTAGTGCAAACAATGGCACTCTTAGAAACAAGTTTAATTAATTTATTTATTAGTGTGTATATATATCTATATCTATATAGATAGACCTATAGATAGAGATATTTAACATGGTGAGCTCTCCAGTGGATTTGGACGCTGCAAAAATACCGGGAGACCATGTCCCCCACCCCATCCTCATCCAAAATTCACCCAATAGCCAACCACCGTGGGCAGCTCTTTTCAGAGCTGAGTCCCAGATGCCAACAAGGAGCTGAAGAAACAAATCATAAAAGAGGCAGGAAAGAGGAACCCCTCAAAAGCCACGGCAACCTAAATCCAAATGCAACGAGATGGGGCAGCCAAAGATTGTGGCAGAGGGGGGTCTATGGAGGCCTTCTTCAAAAGCTGAGATTTCGGGCACTTCCTGAAGGTCAAGAGGGAGGGCCAGGAGATGAATACAGTGGTGCCTCACTTAGCGAGCAGGAGATGAATACAGTGGTGCCTCGCTTAGCGATCACTCCATTGAGCGATGAAATCGCTTTGCGATGGACTTTTGGCCATCGCTGGAGCGATCCCTTAGCGATGTCCTCTACGGCTAAAATTCGCTTTGCGATAATCGCGGGGAAGCGATCATGGCAAAGCGAACTTTTTTAAACAGCTGATCGGCGGTTCCAAAATGGCCACTGCAAAAAAATGGCCGCCGCTGTTTTGCCTCGCTGTAGAGGCACCCAAAATGGCCGGCGCTACGGAGGAATTTCGCTTTAAGGTAAATTTTTAGCCCATAGGAATGTATTAAACGCGTTTTAATATGTTCCTATGGGCTTTTTTAAATCGCTTAGCGATGAAATCACTTAGCGATGTTTTTTCCGGAACGGATTAACATCGCCAAGTGAGGCACCATTGTATATGTATGGAAATGCACCCCTTTCTTACCTTCGCCTTCCGCCTGTCTGTATGGGTTGTACTTGGGCTTGGGAGCGACGACTGGAGCAAACTTCTTGGGCGTCTGTTGAGTGGAGACGGAAATGCTCGGGGTGCCAAAGGCATGCGTCGTCTCCATCCTCGCAGTGACGTGCCCGGTGGGTTCACCGGCATTCTTTGGCGGCAGCCACGACGGGTGAGACATGGCTCAGGTCTTGAAAGAAGCAGAGAGAGAGAGAGAGAAAGAGAGAAGTGCATTTACTTAAAATTCCTGAGAAGCAGCCCTGTTAGACTACAGTCTAAAACCCAGCAGAGTCCTTGGCCAAAATCCTGTTGCATTCTTGGGCTGGCATAACACCGTTGGCGGAACTCTCGGCAAGGAACTACTGCAAGCGAAGAATTCCCTGTTGGTTTTTTGGCAAATGCCAGCGCTGACCAGGGGCCTTTCCTCCCTGAAATTAACTTCATTTGCATTATGCTGGCAAGAGTGATTAATGGAATTTTTGCCTTTAGCACCTGAAAAACCAACATATCACAATTGGTATCAGCTGTCTGTGGGTGACAATGACTGGTTTTAAGGATGCAGGTAGGTACTGACCATCGTTCATACCTGTACCAGTCACCTTCCAAATGGCTTCTGACAAGCATTATTAAAACTATCATCACGCTAGGCCCTTTGCATTTCTACAATACTTCATGTCCGCGGGTTCCCGTGCCTGTATGTCCGCTGAGACTTTACTCTCTCCCCCTGAAGAAGTGGGCTGTAGTTCACAACAGTTTCTACCCAAAGAAATGTCTTCGACTTTAAAGGTGCCTCGTTACTGAATACTAGGAAAAACGTCCTAACTGTTAGAGCAGTAAGACAATGGAACTGATTATCTCAGGAGGTCATGAGGGCTCCAACGCTGGAGGCCTTCAAGAGAAAATTGGACAACCACCCGGCAGATCTGTTTTGATTTGGATTCCTGCCATGAGCAAGGGGTTGGACTTGATGGCCTCTTAGGGCCCCTCCAATTCAACAATTCTAGGATTCTTTGACTCTTTTGCTACACTTGTTTCATTACTCCATGAATTTACATTTTGTAAAGGTCCCAGAGACATCACCTTGCTGACAAAGGTCCACATAGTCAAAGCTGTGGTTTTTCCAGTAGCGATGTATGGAAGTGAGAGCTGGACCATAAGGAAGGCCGACCACAGAAGAATTGATGCTTTTGAATTGTGGTGCTGGAGGACGCTCTTCAGAGTCCCCTGGACTGCAAGGAGAACAAACCTGTCCATTCTGAAGGAAATCAGCTCTGAGTGCTAACTGGAAGGACAGATCCTGAAGCTGAGGCTCCAATACTTTGGCCATCTCATCAGAAGAGAAGACTCCTTGGAAAAGACCTTGATGTTGGGAAAGTGTGAAGGCAAGAGGAGAAGGGGACGACTGAGGACGAGGTGGATGGACAGGGTCACCGAAGGGACCAACATGAATTTGACCCAACTCCGGGGAGCAGTGGAAGACAGGAGGGCCTGGCATGCTCTGGTCCAGGGGGTCATGAAGAGTCGGACACGACTTAACAACTAAACAATAACAAAATGATCCTTCAGCACAACAAAATTTTAGCACCCTTATAACCACCGGTTATAAAACAAGCAAAAGAAGAAGAAGCAGTAAAATAGTAATTAAATATCAATAAGTAAAACCAGCAGTGGGGGAAAGAAAATACTAACATGATTTCATCTATGATTAAAAGCCTGGGGAAATTAGAAGTTCTTCGGCTGACACCAAAGAGACCATAAAATAGGCGCCAGGCAAGCTTCACTGTGGGAGGGGCACCAGGATTGAGAAATTGTCCAGGGAGGGAGAGATTTTTTAAAAAAAGAAGAAGAAAGAGAGGAACCGAGCTTCCAGTTATTGCCAAACGTGATTTATTCTTTAAGAAATATTTCTGAAAAGTCTACCCATATCCTCTAGCTCTTGGCACATAAACAATGCCCCCGAAAACTGAGAGGATGTTGGCTAACCAAAATAGCTTGTGCCAGCAGAAACATGCCTCCTCCCCACCTTTCCTTCTTTCTCCCACTTCACTTTTCATGGTGACCAAACTTCGCTCCGGGGGGGGGGGTGGTTTGTTTCGATTTCTATATGACCCAGTACTGATAGGGTACTCTCTGGGCAGTTTACAATACAATCGTGCAAATAATGTGCCACCCTGTAATCCGGGGACTCGTTGTAACAGCCTCGGAAAGATGGAGGGCTGAATCAGCCCCTCGAGATCAAACGCAGGTCATGAGCAGAGTCTGTTAAACAGAGTCACAAAACTTTTGATTGATTGATTGATTGATTGATTGATTGATTGACTGATTGATTGATTGGGGGAAGGCAAGGGGCATGGTCCCCACCCCCCCTGCCCCACCCCTGCTCCTAACCCTCGCCAAAAGAGGGGCCTGTACATTTCAGGCAAAAACGGCATTCTCGCTGTCTATCCGAGGAACATCTCTTTGTGACGGAGAACGGTTGCAAAGGCCGAAGGGTGAACTGTGCAGATGTTACATCATTAAGAGAGGTTGCTCTTCCAGTCTGCATGAAAAACGGACCGGACGTCATTCCCAAAGATGGTGGTGGGTTCCCTCCCCCAACTCAAAAAGGTTGTTGCTAAGATGCTTTTACTTTGCTTCACTTACAGTTCATGAAATGGTCACCACGTCTGTTACGCGAGATGAAAAGCCACTGAAAGCTTATATGCATTGTGTTGCAGGAGAAAGCCTTCCCAACAACAAGGAGCACAAGAAAAAAATGTCACGGGGAAGGACTTCAACCCACAGTTTTGGTGACTGAGATTTGTTTAACAGCAGTGATGGGAAGAACACAACATAATTAGCTCCTTGTCGACACGGTCGCACCAGGTAGCAGACACAGATGTACGATCCCACGCTGGAAACAGCCCTCAAGAGTTGGTGGAAGTCACTACACAGGCTGGGAGTAAGGGATCTGTAGTCAAAGCCGGCTTAAAAGGTTGGAGAAGTGACTTCAAAGGCAGTCGCTTCAACTGTTCGTAGTTCAACAGATGAACATTCAATCGTTCATAGCTTCAATTGCAGAACATATTCCACCCCCACCCCATTTAAACCAGTTTGGACCAGAGTCTGGGCTTCCCTTCCCCACCTCCTCTGGCAGCCGACCATTCAGTAAGAATCCCCATCCGGCCTCCTCGGAGTGGTCAGCTGCTAGAGGAGGCGGGGAAGCGAAGCTCAAGTTCTTGCCCGGACTGGACTGGCAACCAAGAAGAAGGACCCGGGGCTGTGCAGTCAGTTGGTGGGGGAAGGGAGGGAACGTGTACGACTGTTGACAAAGTGCGACAAAGCACTTTGAATGCATCTCTAATTGTTATTATTATTAAATAAAAGCCCAAAGGCAAAGACACAAAAATATATAAAAATCAATTCATCACCAGTTTCAGACCAACCATTTCCTTTACAAACATCAGGGACAGTTTTAAATGGCCGTAGGCAAAAATCCAACAGCGAAGAAGTGGCAAATGGGATGGAAGACCTCTATTTCGATGAGCTCAAAGACGGTAACAGTAGTCCTTGAGTAGGAGAAGAGGGCCTTCCTTCATTGGTCCTCCCGGAAGCACCACGGTCCAATTAAGAAATGGATCAGATAATTGTTGCCCAATCAGAGGCAGCATCAAGAGCATGGAAGCCGGTGAATATTTTCGGGCATTTCCCCGGGAGCAGCAAAAAACACCACCTGCCAGCTGATCTTGCACTCTGGAGGCACCAACACGAAGTGATTCGTGGTACAGGTGAGAGGATAAAAGGTGAGTCTTGTGCCACCACACGTGGCATTGGTAGGATTCCTGGCTCTCAAGGCACCATCTGAAGTCTCAGATAGAACAGCTTTGCCCTTCCAGGTCTCCCGATGGAGAGATGAGAGAGGTGCGAAAGAGGATCGATCGGAAAGCCTGGGGGACCATTTCCATCTTTCTCTGGATGGCACCAGGGCACACGCTGGCTCGGCGCAACAGAGTTTGCTTCTGTGAAGGGCCTGCCCGGCCCTGCCTTGGCTCGGTGACACCAAACCCGTCTCAGATTCTCATAGGATGCCACTGACTTGTCAAGCCATGGCATCAGGGGAGCAGGAAGAGATTAATGTGTGTGATATGTACGGTTGCAACAGTGTGAAATGGCATTACATTGCCTACGTTGTTTTGTGAGCGTGAAATGCTTTCAAATACCGTATTTTTCCATTTATAAGACTATACTTTTGTCTAAAATTTTCAGACTAAAAATTTAGGGTCGTCTTATAAAATGGAAGTAAACTGAGGAGAGTACAAAAACAAGTGGAGGGGAAAGCAGGGATCAAATTATTCCTGCAGGGCTTTGATCCCTGTTTTCCCCTCCACTTCCTAATCCTTAGCAAAAGGAAAGCTGGGATCAAAGTGCTACTGGACGGCTTTGATCCCTGCTTTCCCTTCTGCTTGCTAAGTCCCATGGGGCTTAACAAAAGGAGGGGGGAAAGAATCAAAGCAATCCCATGGCTGTATTAGGGGCAAAGGGATCAAAACAATCATGCAGTTGCAGGACTGCTTTGATCCCTTTCCCCCTCCTTTTGCTAAGCCCCACAGTGCTTAGCATAAAGGGAGAAAGCAGGGATCAAAGCGATCCTGCAGCACTTTGATCCCTTTTCCCCTAAACTTGCTAAGCCCCACTTAGTTTGCTTAATTTTGAGTTAGAAAAATGGAGGGCGTCTTATACATGGGGGTGTCTTATACACAGAAAAATATGGTAGTTGTGTATGTTTCATTGTTCTCGTCAGCACTTGCACTGACATCTCACGCTATAAGGTGGAATATAACTATTCCTGTTGGCTGGATAGCTCAGTCGTTTAGGTATCTGCTTGCAGAGCTAGAAGTTGGGAATTCGATTCCCCCCTGGCCTCCTGTGAGTACAACCAGCTTGTGCAGCCTTGGGCAAGCTGGACAGCCCCAAGAATGCCCCCCCAAAGAAGGGAAGGGAAAACCACTTCTGAGTATGGTCTACATGGAAAACCCTGGAAACGGGTCACTATATGTCACATGACTCAGCGCACACCAGTCTATGCTTACACTGATCTTGCATGTGCTAGAATTCACCATGGAGACTGACCCAAATAGTATCAAAAACATAATACAGTTTGAGCCTGTTTCACACAATTTTGCTCTGGAAATCAGCACTTTTTACTTTCTT